GTTAAGATGTTTTGATATTCAGGTGGGCTTGTGGACTTTCAAAAATTTACTTCAGCTTCAAGCTGAATGTACAGCTGAGCAATTGATCTGTTCCACAGTTTACCTCCATTCTCGTTTTGGCTGTTGATATAAAGCTTCTTGGCAGTCCCTTCCCACAGATAAGAGTCAGTTTGATACATGCGTATTCTATCTGCCAAGGTCGATATATGCAGTCACTGTCTATGCTGTTTAAAAAAGGTATTTGCAATGAAGATGCCATTGGTCTTGCAAACTATCTTGTCATCTCCAGCTTCCTTTCTCTTGCCAAGACCGTGTTTCCAACTACTGATCCTTCCCCCTTTTCCAACTTCAGCATTACAATCGCCAATCATTATTAATGCATCATGATTGCATGCCTGTTCAATTTCAGACTGAAGAAGTTGGTAGAATTCTTCAGTTTCTTCATCACTAACTTTAGTGCTTGGTGTGTACATTTGGATAATAGTTATTTTAACTGAACTTCCGTGTATGCACATAGATATTGTTCTATCACCGAAAGCATTGTACTTCAAGGTAGATCTTGAGATGTCCTTTATGACAATGAATGTGTTGAAATTTCCTTGAATTTATCATTCCAGGCACAGTTAAACATATGACTATCTTATTCAAAATAGCCAATACCCGTCCATTTCAGCTCACTAATGCATCGGATGTTAATTTTATCCGTTTCCTTTCCTTTTTGATGAATTCCAGTTGTCCTAGAGACATACTTCGTACCTTCCTTGTTCTGACTAGTTATGGATATTGCTGCTGTTTCTTCTCATTTTGAATAATGCCCACCAGCAAGGAAGGTCCCCTCAGCTTTACTCTATCCACACCACTATGGTTGACTCTGCTTTGAAGAGTCCTATTTTGAGAGCCTTCTAATTTGATGGGCACTGTATCTGACAGTGGTTTCCTGCTATTCAGAAGGGTTTCCATGGTGAATCCCTCAGAAGTGGACAGCCTATTCCTTGTTAGCAATCTGTTCTTAGGTTGGAAGCTCACCTGAAATCTGATCACATTGAGTGAACCTGCTGGTGTTTGTAATACAGGTGGCTTAACTTTCAGCATTACAGCAACATGCAAACTACCACAGTGTTACAAAGTGGTGAAAGGAGATTTATGAAAAACAAATAAACAAAGTGAAACAAAGAAACTGCCATCGAGTCAATGCTGACTCAGCAACCATATAGGCCAGAGTCGAACTGCCCCTGTGTTTCCAAGACTGCGATTCTTTACATGGAGCTGGCTGGTCGTTTGAACTACTGACCTTGTGGGTCTGGCCCATCACATAACCACTATGCCATGATAGGGGTTTTAGGGATCCTGAAAACAAATACTTCAATCTGTGCTTACACCTCTGCCCTTTATACTATGTAATTGCCTAATACTGCATGAGGGATGGTCTTCTACCATTTCTTAGTGTTATGGGTCTACCTAAGGAGCCCTGATGGTATAGTGGGTTACACAGCGCTGCTAAACTCGAGGTCAGCAGTTTGAAACCACCAACCAGTCTGCTGTAGAAAGATGAGGCTTAGTACTCCCGGAAAGTCTCAGTAACCCACAGGGGCAGTTTTACCCTGTCTTTTAGGGTTGCTGAGAGTGGGAAAGAACTTGATGACAGTGAGAAAGGTTATTGTGTTGGAGGTGGATGACTTCTATACTGTCATTTTCTTGAAATGGCCTGCTTCCTAAGACATCTGTGTTAGGACAGGTTGACAAGAGAAACAAATTTAGTGACACAAAGGAGCATTATCACCAGGATGACAGTTCCCGGCAAACAAGCTGTATAGTCAGTCACCTTACAGGGTTGAGACAATGAATTTTCCAGAGACGTTTTCAGGTGACGCTAAAATTCTTGGTTTGGTGACATTGTGTGGGAAGAGTGGCTCATGGGAACAGTCATTGAGTGGGTCAGTCTTTGCATACATGTTTCTAGCAATCTCCAAAACCAGACTTACTGCCATGGACTAGATTTCAACTCGTAGCGACCAATCGGACAAAGTCGAACTAGTCAACCGTTTACAGGAGTGGAATGCCTCCCCTTTCTCCCTTGGAGCAGCTGGTTGTTTCGAACAGCCAATCTTGTTAGCAGCCCAGTGCGTTAATCAGAACACCACCAGCACGCCTTTCTTTAGCTAGGCCATGAAGGCGTTAATCTTTAGTATTTTCAGAGAAATTTTTATAATGTGTTTTAACTCAACACTTGGGTCACACCAATTCTGAACTTAATATATTGCAGTGCTTTTAGTGTGCCTTTCCAGTGAATTTCAAGCTGCGCTAACCTGCCATTTTCTTCCAATGACTTTAATGGCTGAAATTAATGCCAGACAATGAGTTTGGCAATGACAGCATAAATGGTACTGTCACATTTCCCTTTTTCCTAATTTTGTGTTATTTCAGCTAGTTTGTCGTTAACCCACAATGTTTTATTTGCAGTGCACGCTTAAATTATCAGCATTATTATTTGCCTTTTAAAATATGCTCATTACCTAATTTTGACACATGCATGTGCTGTGAGAGAAATTCACATTAAACCTTAAAGGAACTCTAATTGCCCGCTTTGCAATTCTTCTTATAAACTACTGAGTTAAATAAATTGATCTTGCTTTAAGCCTGAAGGGATGTGCGCCAAAAAGAATTCCGAACAAAGAGACCCCTTGAGCCTCAAATAAGGTCATGCTTCTCTTAAACACCTAAATGATGATTGACTGCACGCACCCTGGTGCCTGCTCACAGCTGTGCCTGCATCACGTTTAACTGTGTCTGGCATGTTCTGAGCACACATTCGATATTTGTTCAGTGAATGAATGCTGTTCCTTGCACTTTGCTTTCAGATGTTTACGATATGTGTTTTCTACTCTCTGGTAAGCCTTTAATATCTATTTATAACAGTCCTGCCAGTGTGTTGTGTGGAGCCTTGCAAATATCTGGCTTTCCATAATTGTTCATTTACTTAATCAATGGGTTCTGTAGGCTTGTAATTGGTAGTGATAGTATCATTTGCTTCGGTAGGGCGTTTCCCACATTCTTTTTTTAGTTATACATCACATTCCCCTTGATTTATAGATTTGCCCTTTGCTTCTCTTGTACCAGTTAAGAAGCCAAAGTCCCCCACCTTTGTGTTCCATCTAAAGTGGGTTACGTATTGGGCTGCTGACTACAAGGTCAGTAGTTCCAACCCATCAGGCTCTCCTTGGGAGAGAAATGAGGCTTTCTGATCCTGCTTTCATAGAGATTGACAGCTTTGGAACCCCAAAAGGGCTGCTCTAGTCTTTCCTTTAGGGCAGGGCTTCTTGAACTTTTCCCACATTTTGCCTGAGAAACTTGGGACAAAGGCAAGTGCTGTCAGAAACACCTCAGATTCATTACCCGTTTGTTTTAAATTAATTTCTGGTCACTGTGCGTTCAGAAACCTTGTACTGTGGCTAGATGTTTTTGTGACCCCAACGTTCAGTTATGTGTCCTCTTATGGAACCACACTGATAGTTTAAGAAGGTATGCTATAGGGTTACTGTGAGTCGTATTTGACTCAAAGGCAGGGAATTTTGTTTTTGAAAGTTTCAGTTAGGGTAAAATATCTATCAGCTTGATTTACAAATGGTATCAAAAGTGCTATTTCAATAAAAGTGAGGGATAAAGGAACATTTAGTAATTAGATTTTAAGAGATTATTTCTTCCTATGCTCTATAAGTTATACTGTCTCTCCAGAGAGGATTTCCAGATGGAATTTTTTTTCCTCTCACTTATTTGGGGAACATTTTCTCTATTGAGAAATCCTGCTGGAAAAATGCAGGCCTAATCTATTTTAATTGTCATTTGATAAGTTTGTGGTTATTGTTACTTCCCGTGGAGTGAGTGAGCTCTGCCTCGCCGTGCCCTCAGTGTGCACAGTAGAACCACTTCACAGCGTTAGCAGGGCTGTAACCCCTCAGGAGCAGATCCACAGCCATAGTTCTGAATTGCCTTTGGGTGAGTTTGAACCGCCAACCTCTCAGTTGATAGACAAGCACTTCATCATTTTAAGCCACGCAGGGTGCTTTCTGCGAGTGCATCATCTCTCTTATTTAGATGCCCTTTCTCAGGAATGGAGCTAAGTACGTAGACAAAATTTATGTTGAGAGAAGCCAGGATGGCTGGTGTTCTTTTTTTTTCTTTTCTTTTTCTCATAGTTTTTCACGTTTCTATGTCTCAGGGTTTTAGTGCTCTTATATTTCTTTGTTCCATATGTCAAAATATTCTCGCTGGGAGAATTCCGATTTAGTATTTTTGACTTTTGTATATATTCACCTTAAAACCTATTTCTTCATTGAAGTATTCACATTTTAAGCAGTTTAAAAATTTACCTTTGTAAGTGGAATTCTAGGCAATGCAAATTTCATTTTGCTGGGACCCACTTCACACACACACACTTCATAAATCTGCAGATGTGCATGTACATGGACACAGATTATGTTATCAAAGAAAAAGACTTGCTATCTGTTTCTTATTACAGACTTTTTTTAATTCAATTTTTTATGTTCCTTAACCAATTTCAATTTTTTTTTTTTATAAGTGAGTTCTCTCTTGGTTTATTTTTTGGCCAATATTGGAATTGGATGTGTGGAAATAAAAAAGGGAGCCAAATAGAACTTACGAATCTCTTTTGCTGCTTACCTCACGTAGCTTTAGCATGAACTGATGATGTACTTATGACAAAAAGTAGCAGTCACTAGTGCTGTCATTCATGCTAGCATAAAAGTAGATCTCTCTGTGTGTTGAGCTCTCTCGGTTGTGATGTTTGCTTTAGGACTGAATGTGATGTGAAGGTTGTCAGTGACTTCATCCATGACAGTGTATTTAGAAAAAGTCAGAAAGAACATTCTATAGTTGTTTCATCCAAAGGAGCCAGAATATAGTGAAACAAGATGCACTGATATAAAGATACATGACTTTTAGTTACAATGAAAATTTATCTCTAACAATATGTATTTTTTCAGGTCGCCTACTCCGGCTAAAGATGTTTCGAGAGGATCATGGGTCATGGATGACAATGTTCTTCAGTACAATTCTCTTTCTCTTCATTTTTTCTCACATCTACAACACGGTTCTTCTAATGGATGGGAGCATGGGGTAGGTTATCTTTCCCCTTTCTGTTGTGGTGAGTGTTATGTTTGAAACTCCTACGAATTCAAGGAGAGTTTGCTGTGGCCTAAATCTCATTTGAATATTCTTCCAAGAGGCATGATCTCTGCATTTTTCTTGATTAAGTTATTTGAGGTCTTTTTATTACCTTTCCTTTCTTTAAGAAGTTTATTGTACATTATAGTATTTATATTGTGTGCGGTGTTTCTGATTCCTTAGGACTTCTCTGTTTGAGAGCAGATACTAATGTAATTATTACAACAGAAAGTATGAGAATCAGGAAAACCATTTATTAGCTTGGTTATATTTCTGAAATCAGAAATGCAAGGCTAAGATGAAGGTCTCCAGTTTGCAATTCCATTGAGCTGCAGCTCCTGGCGACAAACACTTGATACTGGTGATTTTTTACCCTTTCTTGGCATTCCCAACAGAGACTCCTTTGTTATAAGTGAGTCACTTGAAAAGTGAGCCACCCTGTATTACCTCCTGGCTTGTGATCAATGCTTATCAAAATACAAGTCAAATTACTGTGGACTGAAGATGTGCTAATGAGTATATAACAAATATGTAAATATTAAGTATACTTAAGTATATTAAATATATATTTAACTTTCCTCAGTTCTTTCATTATATAATGAACACCAAGAATTGGGATTACAGCATAATTTGCTCTTGATTTGCTCTCAGTAAATTCTAAACCAGAACATAAGAAGATTGGTTTGATTTACAGCAATAAGTAACATTAGTGACAATAATAAACCACTTTAGAGGTTTGCTGTGCACTGAAGTAATTATTAAAGAAAGTTTCGATCAATTATTATCAATATAGCTAGGCAATACATATTTTTTCTAAATAGAGACTAGGCAAGATTGTTGTCTATTTCTACAGTGTGCAGTATTTTACATATAGATTTTGGCTACCATTGTCCAATGCCAAGGGGGGCACCTCAATTAAAATTTTATAGTTTTCTTCCACTTTAAAAGGAGATGAATAGTAAAAGGAAAATAGATTTTTCACAAGGCTTATATTTAGTCCATGCTAACAAATGTTTGACTCAGGAATTTGATTTTAGATCAAATGCCTGGATTTTAAGAAGTTATTAAAGTGTTTTGTCTGTAATTGTTTCTTGGACTAGAGTAATGCTGTTGATAATGGGTCTTTTTAAAAATGATGTCACTACAGATTTTAACAGTGGCTATCAGGATGTGTTTCAGACTTAGAGCATTGCATGGACTTATAGACTGGTATGGAAATGGGGTGTGATACTAAACATAACAGAAGGTACCGCTGGGAGGTCTTGTGCTCTTTCAGTCCTGGGACCAGAAGAATAAGACTCCCATCTAAAAACTGTGTTTTTAGGCTACTGTTGGAAATAATGTGTTAAATATTACAAAAGAATTTCTGTTCATTCAAAAGCTGACTTTTCATCTGTTTTTTGTTTTTTTTTCTTTTGCAATCTGAAGCCTGTCTATGCTATGATAAGTAGAAATGCTTATTCTGAGGTTTGGGTGGATAGAGATTAGATTTAAAAGCAGAAACTTAACTGAGATAATACCTCTCATATTGTAAATACTCATAGATAATGACAAATATGACATTATTGACTGATAATTTTTATTGAGCACTTAATAAGTACCTGGCATGAATTACCTCCTCCATCCTCACTGTGACCTTATGCAGCAGATAGTTTTGTTATTTCCCCTTTACAGTTAAAGAAACTATGGGCAGAGAAGTTTAGTAACTTCTGCGGCATTGAATTAAATGACATATTCATTTTAAACAATAATAGAGAGAAAACCTGAGCTACTAAGTATTGCATTCTGATAGTACAGCCCACTGAATGCTACTAAAGATTTGCTTAATGGTTGGTATGGTTAGGCCCTCATCATAATCCTCTTTGACTTTTCTAGGCTTCTTTACTCCTCAACCTGATTTTGTATGTTTAAAGAAGGAAGGGAATCGTTACTCAATAAGTCATTAATAAAAGGTTTTATTTTATTTTCAGAATAAATACGTTGTTACATATTCTTTTGAAATGTTTGAACTATTATCTGTTATGCCTTATCTTTCCTGGAAAGGATCTTTAAGTGAGAGAAAATCTTAATGGTGTCACTTCTTTTCTATGTCCAAAGCCAGGGACAACTATCACCATTTACTCAATATGTACCAACGTTTATATAACACACTTAGAGGGAATATCTGCAATTGCTTTTGGAGTTGCCTAGAAAACACCCTGCTATGTGAAGCCTTGCCTCATTTTTTGAAGGGTAGGTGTGTTAGTCCAGGTTGAGTAGAGAAACAAATTCATAGATACTCATATGTGAATAAGAAAGAGCTTTATATACAAGAGCAAGTGAATATTGAGAAAGCATCCCAGCTCAGTCCAGATCAAGTCCATAAGTCCGATATCAGTCCATATGTCCTATGCCAATCTATAAAATCCTCTTCAGAATCACGAAACACATGCAATAATGCCGAATGCAGGAGGATCACATGCCAGTGGGTAGAAAGTCTTGTGGATCCAGGGGCATTGTGAGCTTCTCAGCACTGGCAGGGGTCTCCACATGGTTCCTTCAGCTCTAAAACTCTGACTGCCTCAGGGTAACTTCATGTGGCTTCTCCTCAGGGATGCCTCACAGGGAGTGAGTCTTGTAAGTAGAGAGTCTCCAAGGGAGTGAGCCTAGAGCAAGAGTGTCTCCCACCTCCAAGGAGGAAATACAGGAGCTCCCAGAATCCTCAGGAGAAGGCCATACCCACACAGAGGTATGACTATGACCCAATTGATAGACTAGACTCCACCCCTTCACTCTTAACCCTCTCAAGTCCCCAAATGACACCAGATTATGTAACCACCACAGCAGGGAATGAAGGAGCCAGAGTGTGGGGAGAGACCCTGGCACACAGATCTCACAGACTGTTTGGTTTATGCCAGGGCAATGGGGTTAGTAGAGATGAATTCAAATTCTTGAGCTGAATCTGGTAACCACAGGGAATCCCAGTGTGTCTTGTTTGTGGTCTTCTCTAGAGTTATTGGGCTGTATCCATTCCCCAAAGAGTTGCAAGGATTTTTTTTACAATGGTGAGACCTGTATTCATGTGCTTTAGGTATCCTGTTCATAGTTGAACATCACACATAGGAAGCCTTCAGGCCTGGAATGAATGAGTTGAAGTTCTATAGGGTGGTGAAGTGAAATTCCCTTCTTTCTTTTCTTAGTTTTATTGGCTTGTAGCTCACCTATCACACACTTCATTAGTTCAATCATATTAAGAAGTGGTGTGCAATCATCTCCACAATCCATTTTAGATTATTTTCTTCTTTCTCCTACTCACTTTTCCCCCACCTCCCATACCATATCCCTAGATAAATATTAATCCATTCGCTGCCTCTATAGATTTATAAATCCTGAAATTTATATACAGAAAATTACACAAAACACAAGTAAGAAACAACAACAAAAATACAACAATGATAAAATAAAACAGAAACCTGAATTGAAAAGAAAGCGGAAAATATTAAAAAGAGCAACAGTTTTAAAATAGGTCAAAAGGGAGATCAAATGATAAGGTGCGACATTTGAACCTGAGCACATTTGCCATAATTGACTTTACAATGCTCTGTCTGACAGCGAGCCTACTCCCATGCCTGGACTATGATCCGAGGGGATTCACTGGAGTCTTAATCCTCATGGGGATGCTGCAAATGGATTTTGGGCTTCCAAGGTTACCCATAGCCTTCTGCACACCAGGTGTTCAGAATTTAAGCTCTTAATCTGTTCCCTCTCTGGATTAGACATTTCTTAAGATGACACTTCTATCCATCCACGTTCCTGTAACCCTGACAAATTGTGCAAGACCAGACAACAAGAGCACCGGAAACACCAACGAGGGGATTGGTCAGGTTTAGTGGGCACTCTCCTGGCTATAAGAACGAGCCATCTCAGGAACAGGGCGTAGGGAAAGCCCAGGACCGTCAAGGAAGAAGAGCAGGGAAGCACCTTTGAGATCTCTGTGTGAAGTGCAGAGGCCACGACCAGAGGATCAGAGACTGTGACATGGGGGCCATGGGACAGACAGAGTCACGAAGCCAAGCCGAGACCAGAGACCAAGGCCTGCAGACCAACAGAGAACAGAGGAGCCTGCCGCGACTAGGACACTGTGAGGCAGAGCAGCAGGCTGGCTTCCTGGCCCAACATGGACTTGATGAGAATCAGGCTGCCTGTCTCACGAGAGTGGATTCCTTGAAATGTGCACTAACTTCTGTGACTTCGTCATTGCTGAGAATCAAGCAGAGAGGAATTCGGGTAAGGGAGTAAGAGACCATTTAGCAGTGGGACTGAAAGGAACAAAAGCACAGGAAACAGGCCCTGTTTCTCGCCCATTACTACAGAGATGACCCAACCTCTGCTTTTTCTCTCCTCACAACACCAAATGCTACTCTTTGTAAATTCTCTTCATCAAGGATTTAAAAATTTATCATAAATAAGTACGTGACAATAGTTGCTGTTCTTCCCCTTTCCGGTTTGGTGTTGTGAGCCATGGGGTTGATTCTGACTCATGGTAGCCCATATGATAGAAGAAAATTATCATGGGATGGGGCCTAGTGATGGTAAATTGGCCTGTGATCCAAATGGTCTGCAATTGGAAATCACCTGCCAGTCCTCGGAAGAAAGATGGGGCTTTTTACTCCCGTGACTGTTATAGTTATGGAAACCCACAGGAGCCATTCTACTCTGCTGCGGAGGGTCGCAATGAGTCGGCAAGACCGTGATGGCATCGACTGAGAAAACTTTATGGGAACAGATCGTCAGATCGGTTCTCCTGTGGTAGATTAGAGCCACTGACCCCTGGGTAGCAGCTAAGTGCTTAAATATTGAAGGGCTCTTTCATGTAAATTAAGTGACATGAATCGTACTCAACCTATTTTTATTCTTTCTGTTACCAAATAATTAAAATGAAATGGATCTTTAGAAGAATGTTTGGGGTTGTG